AATGAGGCGCATTTGGCCCGTGTTTCAAAGGCTAATACTCATGATCCTATACAAGCGGAGACGTCCCACAGAAACATCACACGGGACCCAACAACAAGAAGTCTATTTAATATGTGTGGGTTTCGTATTGGTAGAGAATGGTCAACTCACGAAAGATCTGGGTGATGTGAAGATGCATTTCTTGGAGTGAAAGATGCTGAGTAAGATGGGTAGCTACGAAGCAAACGAAGTAGGGTGACAGGTCGTGCTTGACGACCACTTGCTGTCGAGACGTATCGATGTAATTTTCGGGCATGTGCTGAAAACTGTTTGCTTCAACTAGTTTCCCTATTATTCTTACAAAATTGATGCGACATTTGCTGTTTTGAAGGCGGAATTTGCAGGCTATTTAGCGCCCCTTTTCCTGGAACTTTGCAGCAGAATGGCCGGTTGTGAACGGCTTGCGGGATTCGCGGCTTCTTATAAGGATTTTACCAATCTTACCGTGCAGTATAACGGTCATCAATTTGGTACGCCAAACACCCGAACAGGCGTTCACGTGCGAACTGCTGGAAAGTGACCGAAATATTGTGCATTCGAAGCGGCAAAGCAAGCGCCATCGTCTCAATAAATCATAATTCAAAAGTTATCCGTCAGGTATATTCGGAAGCCTTTTAGAGCAGTCTCCTTTGTGAGTGCGGAATGATAAACTTGTCTTGTTACGGTACACATTCTCGTTAAAGACTTTCACAAGACAGCTATGGCAAAAATATTTGAATTCACCACACCGTTCTGCACTAATAGGCTTACTAACTCAATAAACGAAATTGGGGCGGATTGTTGTCTTAAATAAGTCACTACAACGAGAGTCGAAACATCGTATCGACGTATGAAGCATTCACAAATATATTCAGCTTCCTCTGCATCAATTTTGAAATCAACTGAATGTGTGGAATGGTCAAAACATTGCTAAATCGCTTGCAGTATTCCGCCAATATCACCTAAAAGACAGTCCTCTATGGATAACAATGTAAGTTTTCTCACCTATTCGACAGAACAGGAGAGTTAGGTTCCCAGAGCGAACAAGTTCACGGTGTGATTAACATTTCATCCGGAGGTAAACAACAGTTAGGAAACATGCAGAAAGAACTGTAGCAGTGGAAAACGGTGGTGACTATATGCAGTAAATTTACACACATTTTGAGAAAAAGTGGAGGAGAATCACTCCGTCTAAAAGTTATGGTAAGTAGGGGTGCCATCAGGCCACAAATACAATGCCTGACTACGTCATAACCGCTCGGGACGAGTATTATACTTCTGCACTGCGCTCTGGTGAAAGTATGAGCCGCAGTATATTGTTTCCCGGCAACCAGTGAGCTAAGAAAACATGATGAACTTTCACATTCCAAGCCAAAGTATCGCTACCTTGTACCAGGGCACCCCACCTCCTTCTATGCACACCTCACTGATCGCGTATCTTATAATTTCTCAGGGCACCGCGCGTGATATACTATACCCGGTATCCAGAATTATCCTACCCGATGTAGATGTGAAAATAGAGCATATCAAACTGCAGCACACGGATGATATATTTTAGTACGCAACACCTGCAAGAACCGGTCTTGTCCACAAATCAGCCACTGTGGAGTCTCGGTCTGTTTGAAAAACAAACTATACATCATCCGTAGTCCCATCATGTAAAAGTGAACTTGTCAGGCTAAATGCAAATGACATGGCGGCAAGGTCATTAGCCACCATAATATGCTTATAACTTCGGCTATTGGAGCGCGTTTCAGATCTTGGAAACTACTTGCTTTTGCCATAACAGTTTCAGTCACAACACTGACGACGCCCTTTATAACTGAACAAAGGTGTCCATCCTGAATTCTAGGCGTAGACATATTCATAGGTGGGTGGACTGTCTCACTAACCAAGATCATAGGCGCGGTGGAAACTGTCGTATTCATACGTGTCACCCGGCAGCAGGCAGTGTAATTGAAGATGGCACAAAGAACCCAATTCCTGACTCATTATGAGTTACAGTTTGTGGTGACAAACACGGAACTCATAAGGCATTTGTGTCGGGCAACAAGCTCGAAAGGGGGAACTGACACACCCAAGACCGAACCGCCTGCCAATACTACCCCAAATAATTCGGGTTTTATGGCACCATACGGTGCCCCACATCCATGTAAAATTAACTGGATAGCTGGCTCTGGTGTGTACGGCCACAATAAAGGCTTTCTGCCGTAGGTGTGCTTGAGCACAAGCAATAAGTTTAAGGAAAACCACGTGGTGGCGAAATGATGGGCCTAGCACTTTGCGCTCAAGTAACCTGTGTAGCTATTTATACCACAGCTGTGCATCACAGCAATGGCAAGGAGAGGCATTCCGCAGATTTAAAACCGTGGGATGTTAATTATGTCCACGAAACAATTGTGCACCATGGCGAGAATCAACTTATTGAAAATATGTTTCTGATGAAGCTTTACACACAGTATGCGTAAACATTCATCAAAAGCCAGAACTAGAACACACGGAGGAATTGGAGGCTTTTGATCACACATATCTTTTGAGCAGGGCTAGCGCGGTGATTAATCGCTGCTTGGATGACGAAAGCGCGGAGTACTTGTCATGCAGGACAAGCAAGGGTATGAGGTTGCAAAGCTTCAGTGACTGAAGTAGCTGGGGTATGTGTCATGGCAATAATATTGGTAATACACCTCAAATGATGAATTATATGAACACATACCATTTTACGGGCAATATCTGTATGTTATTGTTCTCAGTTAAGCCAAAAAAGTTTGGGGAAAAAATCGATACTCCATGTATAGTATTCTGGGGTATGCGATTGTTTGGATATTGCTGGTCATAAATGCTGAGTAAAAATCATTTCATCACGTAATGGCAGTGAAAATAATGCAGGTACAATCACTCTGTATGGGCAGTATCCTGATGGTAATGAGTCGCATAATTGGTAAGAATCATTAAATGTCGAATGTTCAGCATAAATGAATTTGAAAACATGACAGTTCAAGGCTATCTTCTTGTTTTGATGCTTGTAGTCTCCCGCTGCAGCTATACCCATCTGACGAGTCTCAAATGGGATGGAGCGCGTATCCTAGACTTCACTGCTGGTTATCGAGATAAGTATTTTCTTACTTCTTAATTTCCATCTCTTGACGTATCCGCGTTATCTCCTACCACTTTATGAACAAACACGCCCGTTCCGTCCACCTGTACCTTCCGGAAACGTCCTATATACCACTGGCCGCTATCCTGCCGATCTCATTCAAGTATCTACACCGACAGGAACCAGGCAAAACCTTTTAATCTTTCTGACAAGCCGTAACGTCCTTGCTAACTCACTTCGCAAGTTGTAAATACCAACCTTTTAAAATCTCATCTCGTCGGAGCTAAAAGCAGGACTACACAAGAGGTTTCCATGTTCTCAAAGGGAGCAAAGTTGAAAAACACGGATCGGACCCAAAGAGCCGGACAACAGATATCAGAAATCACCCGTTCCCTATACCCATAATACTGATGTTGTATGACGGAAAGCATTATTTTTCAGCCTGCACACACAATTTCAATTCAGGATTGAATATCTACAGCCCTCGAAATCGCAAGGACCTGCTACATTCGCTCTGGAACTCAGCAATACCGAATAACGGAAATTAAGGAAAGGATACTTCTACACTACCAACCTGCTCGCCACAGTAGATAGATGGGACAACTTTGTATATCACGGAGGTTAAGTTTATGCTATTCATCTAAACTTTGCTATGATGATAGAGCGTGTTGATCACAACTGTCTTACAGATAACTTAAGATCGATCTGGACCAAACCACCGCTCATTGTCAGGTTTTCCTGGTATCCGAAAGGTAGTTTGTTTAGTGTTCGATATAGTTTCTCTTTGACTGAATAAACAGAATGTCCTGATGGAATTCCCCAGGGTTCATTATTAGGCCCCCTTCCTCTTCCAAAACATCGGAGCGACCTACTTCAAGAGGGTCCCTCTGAAATTCATGTTTGCAGATGACATTAAACTATGAAAAGAGCTGAAAAGTTAGAGAGATAATGTTTTCCTACGGGAAGGCTTGACCCAGCTTAAGTACAGAGCCCCCAATAAAGGCCTCGCAGTTGGTTCGAAAAACAGAGTTGTACACGTAAAACATGATGAATGTCATGTACATAACCTCATCCGCATGGAAATGAAAACATAGCTCATGAGGAAGGATTTGGGTGCCTCAGCCCCTCAGAAATTAAAATCCCATGCCAAATTTGGCAGAAACGCATCTCGTGGAAACTCGACGTAACTTTTTGGCGTATTTTTAGACGTTTCAGCAGTAGGTGTTCTCACCGGCTTTATACAGCCTCACCCTTAATTCGTGACTGCAGTCTTTCCATCTACTTGCGGGAGGAGGAATTAAACTTATAACCCATCTAGAGGGACATGACCAAATCTGGTCGAGGATTTAGGTGGATAAAACAAGAAGAACGATTAGTTGCTCTTGATCTACATCCCCTGTAATATTGAGGCCTAAGAGAGGGCTTGATAATGGCTAACAACATTATGAATGCTCCCGAACATCCACTCCATCACTTACTGAATCTTAGTTGTGGCACCAGTCGAAGGGGAAGCACACAGAAACTAAGCCTAGAATGCAGTTGGTTAGATGTCAGACACAGCTATTCCCTAAGAGTTGTTAAGCACTGAAATACTGTACCTCTACAAGTGATCCGGGGTACTTGATCTGAATAACTGCCTAAGATTTGGGTAGGATCTCTTCACAACCAAGTGAACTTTCAAAACTTAACCACCCCATTTCACTCCCTCTTCAATTGTAAGCAGGTCAGCAACCACAAGAACTAATGACTTGGAGATTCTAGGTACAGATGCCAGTTACGCAAAGGCTTCTGTTACGCTAATAACCATCCGAACAATTCGAACCGTAAATGAAGGCCGTAGGACTTTTAATAGGCTAATGAATGACCTACTTTGACCTCAATTATTGTTGTGGTGTTCAAAATATTAGATGTCGTTGTTGAAGTCACTCCTCCGAAAGCTTAAGGCAACTGATGAGCCAAAAAAGAAAGGGTTTTCAGATGGAATAGAAAGAAACATAAACCCATCTGACATATGGGAAATTATTTCCGAACTGGGAGATGGGGCGTTTGGGAAAGTGTATAAGGTTGGTTAGTCTAAACGCAATCCTTATCATGCATTTGATTCTCTAGACTCGCAAGCGTGATGGCGATTTGTACGCCGCACTTAAAAGGGTCGAGTTCGATTCTGAGGGTGAACTAGAGGATTTTATGGTCGAGATAGATATTCTTTGCAACTTCAAACATAAAAACATACTTTCCTTGCACGAAGTTTACATACATGACAGCAAGTTGTGGGTAAGTGTTTCACATTTTGATTTTATCAAAAGATGTATCTGGAATTATGTGGTGGTGGAGCTTTGGACTCAATTATGGAAGGACTTGAAAAACCATTAACTGAGCAACAAATAACATTCGTTTCGCATGAAGTCCTTCAGGGTCTCGGATATTTACACGAAAACCTAATCCTCCACAGAGATATGAAGGCTGGAAACATCTTGTTGACCACAAACAATGAAATTAAGCTTGGTGAGCAAACATGTTTTTTTGGGGTCAATACTATTAGTTTTTGACTTAACTAATATTTCGGGAATATTTTGTTGTCATTTTCAGAGATTTGCTGTGATAAAGTGTGCATTATAAAGCCGTAGAGTTGCACTTATCGTAAATGCTTTGGAACCGAATGCAGGTGGTTGGTGATATTCAAAATGGTAATTGTTAAGTCCAATGCTCTGTAGTATTTTGAACATAAGATATTGAGACATGCTAACTGGTTGCTGGTAGTAAAAAATCAACAGTAAAAACAAAAGTAGGACCATTCACTTATCTTGATCGGGTAATCTTACTCAATTCGGTAGCACTAGATTCTTTTTAGGCACCTGTCGCTTATCACCTGGATTTAGGCTTATTGTCATCCTGCATTGATCAGGAAACAAAATTTTCATTCGTAAAAAGCCTCCTCTGAAATGTTATCATAAACGACCTAGTGTAAAACACTCCATTAAGGTAGTTTGAATCATGCGTCTTTATGTCGTTTGTACCTTTGTATGCACATACGTATTTCATACATATGTATTACACAAAAATACAGGTACTGTGACACTTCTTGATTAAAGTTAAATTAACCACGTAAGGCTACTGCTTAATATTATCTTAAATATAAATAAGGTTTGACAAAACTCTTGAAAATGGTATCTAGCTTTAGCACCCACCCACAAATTCCCTAACGGTGTTCGAAATTATGATTGGTTGTAATCTACAAAACAATGGATGGATGACTACATTGGTGGGGATTGTTATTTTATGTCCTGATTTGAACACTAAACGCTTGAGTATCTTTTACTCCACTTCCTGCTATATTTGTTCATTTTGTTTTCTCTACTGACATGTTCCTTATCATTTTTACTTACTTGTAAATATGATATATGAAGTCGTAAACATATGTGCACTGTTTTATTTTATTGATATATACCAGAATCGTGGTATCAGACATTAGCTTTTTAAAATGTAAGGTCTCGACTTCATGATTCAGGCCATGTTCAGTGGTTTTAGTCAAAATAAATCTGGAAACAAACTTTTTGTGTGTATATGAGTATAACGCTTTCCAGCTTTGTCATATCCTCTCGTATAATTACTTCTGTTACTGAGATTAGTCATCACGTTCATTGGTTTTCCAGAATTTTTGACGTTTAAGTGTAAACCTTCGGCACTGGTAGAATGTAACTCCATATTAGATTTGTTTGTTTGATATATAGCACACAGTAAATAATACTGTATCATGGTGCACTATATATCAAATAAACAAATGTAATATGGGATTTTTGACGTATTTTTGGTAGGGTATCAAAGATTATTGGAGTTGAGAATTTTGACAGTGTCAAAGTAAAGTCATTGATGGAGTTTGTCGGTTTTAAAATGGAGAGTGACTGCAGTAAAGTGTTTCCCGCTGATAACCAACAATGTCATGCTAATTTTGCCTTGCCAGTGAGAATTGAGACGGGCGGTATCGCAGTGCCAGAGATGTGGGTTCATATTTAGAGTAGAAACTAACAAACTTAACTCAATTTTTTTCACCTTAATGACTGTTGTTATCATTTAACCTGTGCTGTTGACCTAGTCTATAATTACTGAGTTGCTGGGTTAATTCCCAGGTGACTGATTCCTTCTTAGTAGTCCGTATATTGGACCAATGTCCATCTCTCTTGATTGCCATTTGACTACAGGACCATGCTTCCAGGAATTCTCTTGCGAGTTTTGAACCTATTTCCATGGTATTTCTACGTTTTCCCAATCAAAGTTATGGTTGTGCCTATCAAAATGCATGGATATGACACTGACAGACTGACAAAATCAACGGAAAACCTCGCGCATGAGTGCATCCGCTCAAGTTGCCACACTTCACAAATGCACACAAAGAACAGGTAGATAGAAAAGGAGTGATAGCAAAGTACATAAAATAGTGTGAGGGAATGAACAATCTGAAGGTATAAATTGGTGTTAATGTTCAAGCTTAGATGTTAAGGAGTGAATACGTCTGCGCCATTGTCACCGATTTTAATTCACCAAGTGTCCTGAACCACTGATTCTTTTCGTCTCGAGAACCGCAACCAGTCAGTCTGCACCCCCGAAAAAGACTCAAGCCTACAATCATGGACTTCATCGACTGGTGCCATATCTTGATCTGGCTACCCTAATCTCTCTTCGAACTTATCCTAGCATTACCCATTAAGGTAGGCGGTGAGTGGCTGTGCATATACACTACATGTCTCAGCCCTCTTAACCTCATCAGTTAACTTGTCTGTCTTGCCTAGCACTCTTTGTCTAACCTGAAAACTGCTCACACGGTGATTCCACCAGACGCTAGCAATGATACTCATGCATCTATGATCAAAACCCAGTAGTCGCTTCGCGTCTTCTACTCTTAACTGCCACTTCTCATAGCCGTAAAACTGGACAGAACGGAACGTAGCACAGTATACTTGTCTTTTGATAGATAATGAGATATCTCGCCGGTCGATGCCAAATATTGGCGAATGCCGAGTGGGCCTTCTGTATCTGAACTGAGATTTTGTCAGCAACCAGCTCGTCCGGGCTGATGGAGATCCCCAAGTAGGTGAAGTGGTCGACACATTGCACCAATTCACTTCCTATCATTAAACTGAGGGTGATTGCAGACTAGTCCTGGAGTATCATCTTACTGTTGATAGGTGCCAGAGAAACACATTCCAACTATAGACATGTTTCTGCTCAAGGTGTTCAAAAAACCTGCATTTTTTCAGCGTCTTTACCTGGCAGGACAATATCGTCAACTAGGTGACATCGATGGGGTAGGTCAATCCCTATGAAGTCAGACGTACATAGGATTATGCCCACTAGTACGTTTGTAATGAAGTTAAATAAGAACGGTGACAGTGGATATCCCTACCGGACACCACTAGTTGTTGTCAACTCACATGACAACTCTCTATAAGCCCTTTCATGGCTGCATGAGTTTGAGTGGAGAGATTTGATAAGTGTTTTGTACTCCCTTCATAGATAGACACTGCCAATACACCTCACGGTGGATAGAGTCAAATGCCACTTTCAGGTCAAGAAACACGGCAAGTGTCAACTGCCGGTAGATGTGCCTATGTTCCATAATCTGTGTGAGGGTGAAAATCTGGTCGATTTACCCTCGACTAGGTCTGAAACCTGCCTGGTTTTCTCGAGTTTACTGTTATCGAGCTCCAATCAGGCGTCGCACAACTGTGGACCTTATGATCTCAAATACAATATTAGTCAAGCTAATTCACATATGGTTGTCACAAGGAGATTTCTCCCCCTTCTTATGGACTAATATGATAGGGAAAGTAGACCAGTCTGACGGGACTACTTCTGATTTCCATACACTGCCTAGTACCTCCGTCACTTTTGTCATCAGTTTTCTGGCTCCATCTTTGAAGACCTCAGGTGGCAAACTGTCAGATCCTGCTGCTTTCCATCGTTTCATGTTCGATACACCTTTCTCAACTTCAAGGGAATTTGGAGGACCGATATCTACATCCCATCCAGGTTCAGACTGTGTTTGGCAACTGAGGCGTTGCTAATGGCCAGTTGAACTGTGCTTCAAAGTGTTCTGCCTAACGTCCTATCCGCCTGTCCTGCGAGGTTATCAGCGTTCCATCCTCTTCGGTGATGGTTTCACTATCCACCGTCTTTTTCTTGTCAGTGTCCTTGATGAGCCTAAATAGTTGCCGAGTGTTACTGACCTCTGATGCCTTCTCCATATCTCTCTCTACCCACTACTACTCGCGATCGACTCGAAGACTTTGTCAATCTACGTTTAAGTTGCTTTCGCTCTTCATTGTAGTCAGAGCCAGTTAGAATCAGTTTTACCGCATTAATCAATTCCTATGACATCATGGAAATCCAATGACGTTTGTTAACCTTCGTGTGCAGGTTACCAATTGCGTTTACTGATTTATCTACAGCAGACTTAATGTTACACCGGGTCTCCTCAGGGTGAGCATTGCTACCACGTTCAGATGAATGCTTGGTTACCGCCTCCCTAAATGCAGACTTGACGTTTTCATCTTCCAATCGACCAGGAGCAGACATACACCGATCCGTACTAGCAGGTGATCGGCAAGTGCGTGGAGGGGGGGGGATTACGAATAGGAATCACCTAGTCTCATGGTCCTTCCCAGTCTTCACAGTTTTATGCAGTCGGACATCACATAGACGGCTATTTACTGGAAACCAGTCGAAGAGATCACTTTCTGCTCTAAGACTCAATACTATGCTCACACCAGCGATTCCACGAGAGCGAACCGCTGGGTCTCCGGATACTCTTAAGGTGAATTCTAAACATTCACTATTATGCCTAGGTGAGGTGAGTTTAATGACCACCCTCAGGTCCCGTACACGTGTTTCAGAGACGCAATATACATCCATGGCTAGAGATTGGCGAGCGATGCTTGCTGTTTTATTTGGCATAGAGTTCGGGCTTTGGAAGCCCCAACATGAAGTCGATAGCGGGCTCTCAGGAGGCTAGGAATGGGGTGTCGATAGCTCTAATCATTGACATTGGTTGCAGAATGAGAGGCTGGGTAAGACGTAAGAGGCTTAATATTAGTATCAGGAGTTGAAGGCAAAGGAGGAGACAGTTGAGGAGAATAGGTAATGTTTGATTGTGTCTTGTGTGCTACTGGAAGCGTGCGTGCGGTCGACACTTTCTGGCTGCCCACACGATGGAAGGCTATTTCTTTTCAAGGTACCTGAAAAGGATTTTTGTGACCGCAAAGCCCAGGGGACATCTGCTTGAGGTCGGTCACGTCCGGCTTTTTTGATGCCACGACAAGTGGCCTGTAGTATGGGAGATGTAGTTGGATATACGTCCCGTGGTTTTTGAATTACTACTAACCACTGATGACTGGTCTAAGCCACTATAGTAGGTCATCCCATTGTTTAAGAACATGCATCGATATCAACGATGATTTGTTATGTCTTTTAGGCTATTCGACGATTGGATTAACCGATTTACTGATATT